GGAGCCTGCTTCTCCCTCTGACCCTCCCCCCTCTCATGTGCTCTCTCTCTCATTCTCTCTGTCTCAAATAAATAAATAAAATCTTTAAAAAAAAAAAAGTGCATCTATATCTACATCTCTATATACACACACACACATAGTTGTAGATCTTCATGAAAATTTCTTACAAATTCAATGTGCTCTACAGAGAGAAATTTTTCAAAACCTGAGTTGGAAACCACTGTTAGGACTAAAATTAACTTTTATATTAAATTGTATTATACTTATACCTGGCAAAGCATCATTACTTTTCCAGTATATTCATCTGGTGTGATAATTGTACCCAAAATAACTGGCTCCAAATATTCTGTTACTTTTGATTTATCAGGGAATTGTGCAGGATTGATGATTGTAATTTCCTTTTCTCTGTATTCCTAAAAATAAGAAAAATCACCAACAGCTAAAAAAAGTCTTAATTACCGTGTTTTAAAATTTGCTTTTAATTTATAGATGTTAGAATTTATTACAACTGCATTTGCTGAATAAAAACAAAAGAATTCCTAAAACTTAGACTATTATCTTAACATGCTTTGTATTTTAAAAACCACCCAATTGTAACCACTTAATAATTTTTAATAAGTAACATATCTTGTTCATCAACACCTACTAAACACATCTCATGTACCACTTAGAAAAAGTATGATGTAAAAGCACATTTTAATCTGCCCTTTATAAGGCATTATCAGTAGTTTCCTAAGTTAATCTTGTTGGAAAATATTTACATACACCAAAGTTAAAATTTGTTTAAAATGAAGAGACTGCCATTTAGATGGACTACTGTCTCTATCACTACCTTGAAATCTAAAATTTTCTACAGCCAGGTAGCGATGAATACTTCACCTTTCATAAGATTAACTACTTATGACCAAAATTATATTCTTCATTTCTGTACTGGATTTAGACAGCATTTTAATTACTAATTCTACATTTTATTCTCAGTAACAGGCTAGACTGACAATATATACATTTCTATCAGGTTAAGAAAAATACTGCATAAATTAGTTCTCAAGTGGCTTCTCCATCATTAGTCATAAAGTAATTCAATTTTTAATGCTACTAATCAGGAAATATTTCATGTAATAGCTAGTCAGCTAATGGTGTACTAAAAAGTTTCTCTTGCATTCTGCATATACATACATACACTTATTTCGTTTTCCCTTGTATGCTGGTTCACAACAGTACCTTTATCAATTTTGCTGACGAAAGAACAGCTTTATATGGAACAGTTGGGGTTGTCAAAATTACAGAAGCATTATATTCTTGCTCCAGTCGCTGGTTGAAAACTTCCATATGCAAAAGTCCAAGAAATCCCAACCTGAGGGAGAAAAAGCCAAACTCCAAAATGCTTATGGTCTCATGGGCCCTGGTTTCTTTGATGAATGCAGTGTTACTTTGTGGGGGATGTGTAGAATCAAAACTCATTAAAAAAAAAAGTCATTCAAGCAATTCACATCATAATTAAATGCTAGGAAAACTTCATTAAATAAGATTCAAAATTTAAAAAAAAAATTTCTATTGGAATTCTATTTAAAATTGCTATAAAGCTTACCCACAGAACATGAATACAGTGTGAAATAGGCAGATGTTTGTTTTGGTTCACTTTACACTAATAAGAACTTATCTTCAGAAATGAAATGTTCAGGAGCAATGAACCACTTAAACTTCACTTTTTAATAAAAATTTGATCCTACAGGGAAAAGAATCTTACCTCCAACCAGCACCTAAGGCAAGGCTACTATCCCGATGAACTGTCACACTGGAATCATTTATAGTCAGTTTTTCTACAGCACTCTTCAGGTTATTATATTCAGATTGGTCTATAGGGTACATTCCTGAGGACACAATGATTTCTAATTATCACATGTGAAAATCTGCCTAAAAACTAAATACACAATGCTTCCAAGATCAAAATTAATCATTTAGCTTTTAAATTACTTCCCTATATTTCACTGACCACAATAATTGGTTTGCTAAAGAAACTGAGTATTAAGTTACACTGGCTTCAAAGTACCTTGCAAGTTTCAAAGCCTTAATGAATTTACAAATGGATTCACAACCCAAGTGATGTTTTTATGCTTTTGCAAAAATATAAGAAAAATTACAAAGAACCATGGGAATCAGGCCTATTAGAAAAATACATCATTTCAAGAAACAAAAGTTGAAGACATCCCACAACCACAAATGAAACTCCCTTAGTAGATGAAAAACAGAAGTAGAAATGAAAGCTACACTGAATTCTGTAGGGCAGGTAATCTATTAAAATCAAAGATAAATTTTGCTTTTCTCAATTCACCAACAAAAACCATACAATTACTGATTCATCAGATTCTTTTTCATCTGAAACCTCAAGTCCTCATCTCTCAAGTCCTCCAAAATTCCAATGATTGGCTTTGCCTAAACGTGGGGGTAAACAAACTTCATACTTCCCCGTGACAGATACAAAGGGAGAAAAGCAAGTGGAGGATACCCAGCACGGAGTAACTTGACGACCTTCAATCAGGCCTTCCTTTTCCAAATGTCTGTAACACTACACAGTACTAAAAAGTTGTGAAGTCATGCATACAAGAGGTAACACTATCCTCTGCCATGTCTACACTAGTACTGTACAATATTAAAGAAAGTCCAACAGGAAGGCAGTCAGTAAATGTCCACTGACAATTAGTAATGAAAACATCCTAACTAGAAAAATATTCCAAATGCAATGACCTACTCTCTAGGGAAACAAAAAGGAAATTCATATCACTATGTTCTTTTATATATCAGAGAGCTTGTTTCTTAAGAGCTTATAGTTTTTAAGAAGTTCTACAAAAATGCAGGAAATGATCTCCCACAAAAAGTTTCACTATACATACGAAATTAACTGATACATAAATAGCACATAAAAAAAACTAAAAGAAATACAGTATTCTGGAATTAGCTATTATTTAAAATGAATATTTCTAATTTAGAGAATAAATTGGCCTTCATCCTTGAATTTGTGAGCTCCTCACCTGCAAATACCATTGGTTTCGCTGATTTAAACCCAGGCAAGGGCTCCACTGGTTGTTTATGTAAATATAATGTATCTCCTATTTGTGCTTCAGTGACATCTTTCATCCCAGCAATCAGATAGCCCACCTGTCCTGCATATCTAAATAAAATTATTATATGGAAATATTTACTGCTTTAATAAAGTTTCAAGTGCATACTCAACAATTAGCTCTACCTTTCCCGGAAATGATTACATTTTCCAAACAAAACCTCATCTAATTCAAAGTAAGTACTACATATCAATTCTCACTGCTAAACTGTCAGCAAAAGAACATACCATGCCTTACAGTCCATTATCAAGGGCCTCTGCAACACAAGTCTACGGCCTTCCTCATGACTCTGCCCACCTTTGCACATTAAACAACAGCTTCTAAAATATAATGTAAACATAGTGAAACTAAGTGCAGAAACACAAAATAACTTCTTGTAGTGTAAAACACTTTTATTAATGAGTTGTGTCACTAATGTGCTTTAAAAAAAAAAAAAAGATCAATTTTTAACCAAGCAGAAAAATGTGAACTCTAAACAAATCTGATACCAATCTGATGTTCCTCTTGTAGGAAAAGAGCACATCCCAAGATTTCAGAGTTTTAGCTTAGTTTTTGTTGTTTTTTTTAAAGCAAATTTCCTACATGATAACAAACTAATTTACGTTTAGGATAAGGTATCAGAATCTTAAGTGAAGATACAGTAATGGTCAATGTATGAACTATATGATGGAACACAGACTTTGGAAATATTTGAGTAAAATTAAAATAGACTTTATGACTCAGTTAAATAAAAAATGTAATGAGCAAAATAGTACTGGTTTTAGACATACATTAAACTATCAAGTGTGACCTATATAGTTACTACCTTAATTTTTACAGATGAGGAAACAAAGACCTTAGAATGCTCCAAGTATGTGCCAGGTGATTTATCTCATCAGTACCTGGAGTACTGATAGAGCAGGCACTCAAGTATTTGTAAGTGAACTCAAATTCAGTTTTTCTAATGCACACTACCTTGCTAACCCCATGTGTCATGGATTCTAATCAAAGTTTTACTGTGAATTCCATAAGAAAGGAAAAAATTACCAAATTTTCTTCACTACTTTTATGTTGAAAAATCTAATTATAAAAAAGTTAAATATCAAAATTGATACCCACTATGATTTGGATATGGGTGACAGAACCATCTCTTTCACTGTCTCATCAAATACATCAATATAGGACCCAATGTGCACCAGATCATAAAATTTGTTATGACTAGTCAAAAGGAATAAAAATATATCAAATTTATACTGTCCTTCACACATGAGAGTCCTCTTGCAAGACCATTTACTATTTAGTTGCATTAAATAATCAGTTTGGGTTTTTTTCTGAGTTACCAAATTGGGATCATTCTAAGCATACCAAGCTGAGAAAGGCAGAGATTGAAACACATACAAGTATATTTTAATTGCTATTGCAGATTACTTACAGTTTATGTGTTGGCTGCTCATTAGGATTCAGAACTCCTACTTCATTAACTTCATACGTCTTTTTAGTATGTGCAGATATAATTTTATCTCCTTTGGAAACCACTCCATCAAATAATGCTACATTGGCTATCACACCCCTATATTGGTCAAATGTGGAATCAAATACCAAAGCTTTCAGGGGATTTTTGCGATGCACTTTGGGACTATTAAAAATAAGTAAAAAGAAAATAAACACATAATAAATTAAAATGTTAATAAAATGCCTATTTTAAAATCAAATATTATGCTTAATTTATTTTAGTACCTGAGAAAGTCACCCAAGTGACAGCCAAAATAAAAAGATGTTCCTCAAGTAAAATGCCTATTTTTATATTAGTTTTATTTCAACCTTGAGTTTTAAATGACTGTTTTAAGGACGCCTGGGTGGCTCAGTCGTTAAGCGTCTGCCTTCAGCTCAGGTCATGATCTCAGGGTCCTGGGATCAAGCCCCGCACTGGGCTCCCTGCTCAGCGGGAGGCCTGCCTCTCCGTCTCCCACTCCCCCTGCTTGTGTTCCCTCTCTCGCTGTCTCTCTCTCTGTCAAATAAATAAATAAAATCTTTAAAATAAATAAATAAATGACTATTTTAAGATGATTTATGAAACTGATGAAATACATTTATTCAGTATTAAAACACAATAACTGCTAATTTATTCAAGTCTCTTTATTACAATGATTATTAGGAAGAGAACCCAATCACCCTTGTTTGCTTTTTTTTTCCCTATACTGTGCTTGACTTCTATGTATCAATAAAAATAAATAATGTATTTTCACTCACCACAAGAATGGTCTAATCTAAAATTACAGATCAGACTGACGGCCTTTGTACTATTAGAGATAAACAAACAGCACAAAAATAGCAAAATACTTACGGTGGTATTCTTTCAATGACTGCCTGAAGAACTCTTTCAATGTTAGTTCCAAGTTTAGCAGAAATCTAAAAAAATATGTATTAAAAAAATAAATATTTACAGACTACTTTTCAATCCAGGTGACTGAGCTTTATAATCAGAAAAAAGAAAGAATTCTAACAGTTATCAATTTAAAGAAAGTAATAAAAGGAAGCACAAAGCATATACTATACTGACAAATGTCCTTCCATTACAATTAGGTGAGTCTATGGTTCTTGGATTAAATTACAAAAGCATTCTGATTACGGTACTGAAAGAGCAGTGGTCTAAGAGTTTAAAAAAATCTGAGTAACAGTTACAATTCTGTATGGACTGTATGACTTTGACCAATACATATTTGAGTTTCAAGTTCCTCATCTAATAAATGATCATTTATATTTTTTCTAAATCTCAAGACTGCTGTGTAAAGAGAATAAACAATATATGTGGATGACACACATATAGTTACAAGGCATATTACTACTATGGTTCTCCCACTGAGAGAATGAGCCTGAAGACTCAAAAACCACAGGTATGACTCACCTTTGTCATCACTAGTAACTGGACTGCCTCTTGAAATCTTGATTTTAAAACCCATTTCCTAAAAACCACCTCTTAACCTTTAAACTCTCTCTAGATCAGTTTCTCAAGTCAGCACTAAGGACAGTTTGAGCTGATAATTGTTTTAAGGGTTGTTCTGTGCACTGTAGAATGTTTAACAGAATCTATGGAATGTCATCTACCCACAAGATAACAGTAGCACCCACTCCCCAGTACGACAACAAACATCATCTCCAGATATTGCCAAATGTTTCCCAGGGGACAAAACTCCCCCCTAATGAGAACCACTGCTCTAGACGCCAGAACCTTCTTTGCAATGATCCATCAAGTTCCCATCTCTAAACCATTGAATGGACTACCTTTTTTCACCACCCATTAGTCCCCAGCCCCCTCCTTTCCCAGCTGAGACTCCAGGGTCCACTATTTACAATCACAGTTCAACCACTATCTATTCTTTCCCTATCATAAGTTTGGTAAAACTCCACTGTGACTGCTTCCAACAATGTGTCTTGTCTTTTTTTTAAGATTGTATTAATTTGAGAGAGAGCGACTGAGTTACCACAAGCAGGGGGGAGGGACAGAGGGAGAAGGAGAAGCAGACTCCCTGCAGAGCATGGAGCCCAACACAGGGCTGGATCCCAAGACCCTGAGATCATGCCCTGAGCCAAAGTAAAACACTTAACTGACTGAGCCACCCAGGTGCCCCAACAATGTGTCTTTTCTATGCCTATAATACAAAGGGCTTAACATTACTGGAGAAAAATCAAGTAACTGGTCTGGCTGGCTTCTTGTGAATTCATGACCACACATCTCAATGTGCAGTTAAACTTCCTAACTTCCCAGGATGCGTCCCGTAGTAAATTCACATTACCACTCATTAAGGTGTTTCACACCACTTTCCTTTTCGATCTACACGTTTTCCCCTCTGGCCAATTCACTCTTGGTTGATGACTTTGCCTGTTATTTCGTTTAAGGAAACAGAAAATACCACAAACTCCCTTATCCAAAATAAACAAATCTATCTGTATCTATACTCACAACCATTTTGCGGTCTCTCATTACAATTTGAGAATTATTCCCCCTTCTCTGAAGACTCAATCCTCCACACTTTCTATTCTGAATCCGATTCTAATCCTTCTCAAGTTCTTACTCATAACGCCCTCGAATTGACAATAATGTAGTTTGGCTTCTAGGACCTTTTCTCTACACTTCTCCCTAGGAAACCATATTCGTTTACAAGGCCTCAATACCACATACATGTTAAAAACTCCTAAGTATCTATCTCTGACCCCAATTCTCTCCATGAATGCCTGAATTGTAGATTTACACAATATCCCTACTTGGATGTCTAATAGACATTTCAAACCCACTACGTCCAAAGCAAAGCTTTTTCTTTTCTCCTGTATCATTTCCTCTCCAGCTCCTCCTCATATCGATATTAACGTCTAGTATCAACTACTTGCTTAAACCCAAAGCTATCTGATTCTTCCCTTTATTTCACTTCCTTACATGTAACCCACCAGCAAATCTCTCCTATCTACAAATATACATTAAATTTGCCCACTTCTCCACCATCACAATCACATACTTAGCCACCTCCACAGCACCTGAGCTATTAGTGGAAGCTGGTTTCTCCTTATCGATTATTGTTTTCTAATGAATTCTCTATAAGGCAACCTGACCAGTTTATTTTCCTCACTTAATTTAAAATCCTTTAACTTAGAATAATTTTCAATACCTTCGAATCTTGAGAAAGTGATAAAACCTTTGTTCCTTAGTTTTTTCAACTGGATCACAAGAATAATTCCTAGCTCTCCTAACCATGTAACAAGGATTTTTGGTGAAGATCAAATGAAGTATCAGTAAAAAGAACTTTGCAAAACTATGAAAGCTTTATATACCAATGGGCTATCAAATACTATGAAATTTCACTTAGGCCAATACCTGAGATTTTTTTTTTTTTAAAGATTTTTTTATTTATTCATTTGAGGCACAGAGATACAGAGAGAAAGCATGAGCAGAGGGACAGGCAGAGGGAGAGGGAGAAGCAGGCTTCCTGCTGAGCCAGGAGCCGGACGTGGGGCTCGATCCCAGGACCCTGGGATCATGACCTGAGCTGAAGGCAGACGCTTAACCATCTGAGCCACCCAGGCGCCCCATGAGATTTTTTAAAGTATAACTATGTCTTCAAGAAAAAGGTATTTTACCTTAATACATTCATCACTTGGAATATCAAACACTTTTTCAATTTGCTTTTCAACCCTTGCAGGATCAGCATTCTTCAGATCTATCTTAAGAAAAAAAATTATGTCTTAACACAGTAAAAATAAAATGTATTACATATTAATAGCATTCAGAGACAGTTAAAAGCATACCTATAATAACTAATCCCTCTATTTTTCTTTTCAAAAGTGTTAAAATAATCTAGATATAGGCAATATAATTTTAACAAGTATGGCCACTGAAAAACAGAGAGCAGGCAGAGCAGAGCATGCAAAAAATGTAGACAGCTGGCAATTCAAGGCGTAAGAGTTCAATAACAATTTATCAACCAACACCATGTCAACTGATTTTTAAGTTAGATATAACTTGACAACAAACTGTCTTACCATAGGCAACTTTGCCTCTTTTAAACTTAACTCCATTATAAAAAAAATTCAACTGAATGCAATGCAGTGTTTTGTTTTGTTTTTTTTAAGATTTTATTTATTTATTTGAAAGAGAGAGACACAGCGAAAGAGGAAACACAAGCAGAGGGAGTGGAAGAGGGAGAAGCAGGATCCTCACTGAGCAGGGAGCCCGATGCGGGGCTTGATCCCAGGACCCTGGGATCATGACCTGAGCCAAAGGCAGACGCTTAACGACTGAACCACCCAGGCACCCCTGAGCTCCATGTCCAGCAGAGCCCAACGTAGGACTTGAACTCACAACCCTGAGTTTAAGACTTGGGCTGAAATCAAGAATCACACACTTAACCGACTGAGCCCCCTAGATGCCCCATAATGCAGATTTTTAAATTAAGATTCTTTATTAATTTCAAAATATAGAAGTTATGGTTTATCAACAGTGCTCAGCTTAGCATTTAACTGTTATGTTTCATGTGTTACATTGTTTTCCCCAAAGTCGTAAGTGCTTTTTCTTTTCCAATATATGTGTTAGTGTGATAAACTATTTTTTTGGCTGCCCTGTACATACTCCTTTCATACAGAAATAGCCTTCAATCACTCCATGTCAATTCAGGCAGACTGTCTTCTAACTACTTGTAAGGACACAGGAGTTTGAGTTGCAATTCTATCACATGCAATTCAAAGAAATAAATCCTACCAATATATTTAATATATAGTTGAAGACTCTTCATATAAAAAATAGTATACTTAATACTCAAACACCAAATCCACTTTTAGAAAGTAAAATACTGAACACTGTTGTCCCATTAGAATTACCTTGTTTATAACTGGAATTACCGACAGCTGTGCTTCAAAGGCAAGAAAGAAGTTTGCTACAGTTTGGGCTTGAATACCCTAGAAATATCAAGACATAAGATACTGATATGACCATTCTACCATCTATCACAAAACTTATTAAGACCATTCCATATGTCTTCACCAAAAGCAGAGGTATAAAGTATGGTATCTACACTTCCATGAATCTGGATAATTCCTTGTGAAAATTCCTTTCATTTTGGGAAATATTACTGGAGACAAAAAAGGTGAAACATGAACCCTCAAGGTCATGAAAGCCTACTAAAGGACACAGTAATGTGATGTGGTTTATACTATGTACATAAGGTAGACACTGACTTTCCCTGACAGGAACAAGGAAGGTTTAACACAAGAATTATTTTGGGTTTTGAATGAAAAGTTTGTGAGAAACCGAATTATATCAAAAGGTTTACTTTAATAGGACATCATAGGTCTTATATCATAAATGAATATTTTTTTTGTGATTATCTTTGTACCACACAAGAACCTGGTAATGTTACTGACATGTTTCTTTAAACCTAACACTTCCTAAATTATTACCTTAAAATCACCCAAATGACCTCCAAATTAGATTCATTTTCAAGTTCTGCTAAAAATTAATATTAAAACCCCAAACTAAGAACTGCTAAAAATGGAGGTTTTGGTAGGATGAATGTATAATATACTTCAACAATCCCTTCATTCTTCTGATCAGCTTAAAGTGTTTAAAATATGAACTAGTCAATTTCACAGACTGCTTTAGTGCAATAAAATTCAAATTAACAGGACCAAATCATATGCTTTGGCTTAAGTAATACAATAAATCTTACTATTTTCAAACACAAAAATTCCATTTCCAAAATATATTTTAAGGAAAACCTCTTGAAACAACCAAAGAGCATGTCATACCACATAAAATTAAAAGTACCTACCTCGTTTGCATCAACCACAAGTAAAACACCCTGGCAAGCAGAGAGTGACCTGGATACTTCATAACTAAAATCAACATGGCCCTGAGAAACAAAAAATATTGTTACTTCTAAAGTCAGCTGTAATTTTTTTAGGGAGGGGCATTATGGCAAATCTAGTGACTCCCCTTGATAAAAAGTTAATACATTTCTTTTTTGGCCTATACTTGTGAAACGATTTACTCAAACATAAAAACACTGAGAAAACAAAAAGTGTTTAATGTTCAGTTCAAAAACTGAACAAGGATTTGTGTGCACTATTAATACAAGGCTGACTTAACAAGAGAGACAAAATATTAAACTTACCGGTGTATCAATGAGATTTAAAAGGTACTGCTTTCCTTCACAATTATAGAAAAGAGATGCTGTCTGGGCTTTAACAGTGATTCCTCTTTCTCGTTCCACTTGCAATTTATCAAGAACCTGCTTATTATTTTTTGTTTTATCAATTGTGCCTATAAGAAGAAATATTAGTATTTCGATGGGCTTTTAAAAAGACACTATACTGCATATAAAATTAAAACCAAAATTTTAAAAAGCATAGTAAAAATGATGATTAATTACCCATGGCCATCAATTAACTATATAACATAAAATGAAAATACCTGTTAGTTCCAGGAGTCTGTCAGCTAAAGTACTTTTGCCATGATCCACATGTGCAATGATACTGAAATTTCTAATATTTTCAACAGAGAATCTAGACATGTCAATTTTTTCCTAGAAACGGAAGAAAAATAAAACATTTATGAGTATACATTTTGCATATGAAAAAAGTATACTAATTCAAAGATTATTCCTTTAGTTTGAATACTTTCATTTATAACATTTATATTATTCCTATGAAATAAAAAGATGCATTGCTAAACTCTAATTACAAGCAACTGATTACAACAGCACTCATCAAATATATCAGTGTCACTGTCAAGGTAACAACTTAGCTAAAGAAGAGTCCCTTATAAATATTTCCACCACTTAGAGGGCCAATAAGGAAATGAATTTATTTTCATGAATGAAGAACACAAGATACCTAGAACTCCTGAACAGCCTTAGAGCACCCGGTCTAATAAAACTGCTTGAGGTAAAAAAGCTACAGAAAAGTTTTAAGAATAAAAAGGAAATTCTTTCCCCCATCACACAATTAGTCAGCAGTCAAATCTATTTAAAAATCTGTGCTCCTAACAGAATCTTCAAAAGTTTAATTTAGATGCAATTAGGTTATTTGGCAATTTCTTTGGAGAGAGAGAAAAAAAAAGATAACATCAGCAAAAAAACTAAAAAAACAAAAAACCTCATCACTTAAATTTAAAAATATTTTAAAATGTAACTCCTGATTTTTAATTGTATTCATCTTCTTTAACGTTTTATGAAGACTCATTGCAAATTGCTAAAAATGGTTATTCAAATTGAATGTCAGTTTTTTTGTACTCTAAACATTTTATTTTTCCAAGCAAATCCATTCCATAATCAGCATTTAAAAAGTAAAATTACAATGAAATACACAATACTCATGAGCTTTACATTTTCTTTTTATAAATGAAGACGATGAAGGTGCAACTTCTATCTAAAAGAAATTGAGAAAACAACTAAACCTGATTTGTTTGCCCAGTGGATTTCCCACACCACCCTTTCAATTGCCATTCAATTAAAAAGATATACAGGACTGCACCACTTTTTTTTTTTTTTTAAGATTTTATTTATTTATTTGACAGCGAGAGAGGGAACACAAGCAGGGGGAGTGGGAGAGGGAGAAGCAGGCTTCCTGCGGAGCGGGGAGCCCGATGTGGGGCTCGATCCCAGGACCCTGGGATCATGACCTGAGCTGAAGGCAGACACTTAACGACTGAGCCACCCAGGTGCCCCAGGACTGCACCACTTTTAAGAACTTTGAATTGCAACATAAATCCATTTTACATTCCACAATTTAGAAGAGGGCAATTATCATACTTGTCTTATTTTTTCCAGGTACTCATAACTTGCATTCAATTACTCTACTTTTCTGCCTAAAATGTATCTCTTCCTAGCAAACAAAGAGTGTATTTTTAAAAAGTTGCTGAATTCCTCACCTTCTCCACCACAAGAACAAAGACTAAGAAAACAAGTTTGCTTCGGATCACGTAAAATAATAAACAGAAGCTAAAGCATACCCAGCACTTCTTACATTATAGATACTGGACTAAAAAGTTCTACGCCTTACACAGTACAATACTCATGAAGAGCCATTCTTTTATTCTTATCTCATTTAGCAAATGAAGAAAACAGTTACGGAAAGTTCAAGTAGCTTCCCCAGGCCACAGAGCTAATAAGTTGCAGGAAAACGGAGGTTACACTAGTGGCCTCTTCAGCAGGTTTTTAAGAGAATTAAATGCACGCAAAGTCCCTGCATCAGTGCCTCGCATAATCAAATAGTTACTGACATTACAAACTAATAAACTCGAGAAGTGACTTGCCCAAGGTCACATTGATGAGCTGTGGAGGATTCAAAAACCCGAGAGCAAGGCGCGCTCTTAGCTCTACCTCCCTCATAGAATCTCAACCTGCATTCACAGGTAGTCTAGGAAGTCCTTCACGCTTCCACTGTCGCAAGGAAGGCCCTCCCAAGTTTTAAAACACGGTTAATCTGAGACTAATGGCGGTCACCTTGCGGTCGGCAGAGCTGTAGAGCCTGTCCAGAGTCCTGGACTTGGCAGCAGCCCCACGGCTCGGCGTGCGGCGAGGCTCCAGGAGGCCCCGATGTGCGGCTGCGGTGGCCCACACCGTGGGCGCGCGACCGTGCCACCTGCCCCGACCCACAGGAGTCCACATCCCTCCGCGCTACGGAAGCGTCAGGAGAAGGTCTCGAGACAGCTCGGCGTCATAGGCTGCGGCGCGATTTTCCACAAGGAGCCCTCTGCTAAGAGCCGGCGAAAAACACCCAACCAGCTTTACGCAGCAGGAGAAGAAAAAGTACCGTGGCCAGTGTGGCCCAACTAGCGACCCCGGCGCGGCACCCGAGGCGCAGCGCCGCTCGTCGGCGTCCGCACGTAGCACGACAGGATGACGTCAGCGCGCCTCCACGCGAGATTGTAAGGAAGTCACGTGAGGGCGAACGCTCCGGTAGTGTTAGTCGTGCCCCAAAGCTGCGTTGTGATTTAGCTTCTCCTACCACTAGCAAAGTAATATAGCAACTATTTTAAAATTTGAAAGTCGAAATAAACTGCCCCCCGCGTTGCTTCTGATATGGCTGATATTTTAGTGCATCTGGAAGGAAACAGGCGGTAAAATTAATTCCAATAATGTATCCTAGGACAGTTTGGACCAGAACGGAAGGTGGAAAAGTTACACGCTGAACTCCCAGAAGTCTCCCATCATCTTGAAGTTTGATTTCAACAAATATTGACCTTGCAGAGGGCAGATCTCTGGTTAAGTAATGTAGGTGCTAATGATAAGAGATCATGAGACCTATGTACCACATCCAGCGTCTGTCTCCCACTATCTTGGGCTTTTCTGGAATATCTGAAGTTTGGTGCAGAGGAATGAGACAACAGCTGTGTTGAGTTCACCGTTTTATTAGTTCTACTTCGTTCTTGGACTACTATAAATCAGAACAGTACTTGATACAGCACTAATTGCTACCAGCTTTGTTAGAGAATAAACTTAACAGCTACCTTGAATTACAATGAACACAATAATTCATGGCAGTTCATATAAATCAGTTGCAAACTGCAATAATTTGAATATTAATCGTCTTGATTTGACTATATATACTGCTATTATATACTTAAAATTTTTTCCTTAAATCAAATTACCTTTTATACTTAATTTATTTTAAAAGAAAAATTTGTATCATTACCATACATTGAAAAGCATTGTGACCTGTCATAAAATAAAACAGTAATAATAAGTGTAATTAATTTTTAAAAATGTGATTCAATGCTAAGGTCTCACCTGGGAAAGGCTTTGAATCTCTCTTGATTAAACACGTAGATTAGCAGGACTCCTGGGTGCTCAGTCAGTTGAGTAACTGACTCATGATCTCCCCTGGGGTCATAATCTGGGGTGGTGTGATCCAGTCAGAATCAGGCTTGTAGCCTGCTTAGGATTCTCTGTCTCCGTCTGACCCTGGCCCTCTCCCCTAACTTGGGACTCTTGCTTGCACCGCATGCTCTCTCTCAAAACAAACAAAAGCCAAGAACATACAAATGTAGGTTAGCAGACATTAGAGAAAAATTTTAAAACATAACACTAAACAAAGATTTTTCTCCTAGACCTAATTAGCAGTATTGAAATAAAATTGAAAGGAGAATTTTCTTGGGGCGCCTAGTCCGTTAAGCACCTGCCTTCCGCTCAGGTCATGATCCCGGGGTCCTGGGATCCAGCCCAGGTGGTTGGGCTCGTTGCTAGGCAGGGAGCCTGCTTCTCCCTCTCCCTCTGCACCTGGCTTGTGCTCTCTCTCAAATAAATAAAATCTTAAAAAAAGGGAGAGAGAAAAAAAAGGAGAATTTTCTCTGTGTGACTGAGTATTCTTGATGCCATACTTATCTCAGCTAAAATCATCTTGGTACTTTCATTAGTCCCACCCTTCGGGAACACTGCTGTATCTTATGTAGTTGATGCTACATTCCCAAACCCACAGATGAAATATGTATTCATTGGAAAAGTAATCACTGAGCATTCCTAAGTCAGGTACTATACTCGATATGGGAACTCAAAGAAATTAAGCAAGTTGTCTGAAATTACATAATAGGTAAATGGAAAAATCTGTATTTGAAACCAAAGCTCAACTCTCTGCAATATCTTTAACAACACAAGTTTATTTAGTTTTCAATCTGGGAAGAAAGGAGAGGTTGAGTCACTAAAGTTTCAAAGTGGAGGTATATTTTCCTCTGGGCCTTGAAGGATAAAAAGTTTTTCTCAAAGAGATAACTAGAGCCTAACCAAGCAGAGGAATTAGGGACAGCATAATTGCACTTACTATGTTCCCAGTATCACTCTACACACTTTCTATCTATCAACTTGTTTAATCCTTACAGAGACCTCTAATGCAGGTACTCTTGTGACTGTTTCTATACAGACATCTGAGAAAAGTGTGGCTTTTTACGTAACTGCCCACAGTTACAGTTAGCGATGAAGTGGGCTGTGAGCCCAGGCAGTCTGGCTCCAGAGTCTGCACCCTTAACCATTCCATTAAAGTCTGCTGAGCAACGGCGGGGAGTCTGCTTCTCCCTCTGACCCTCCCAACCCTCCCCCCTGTCATGTGCTCTCTCTCTCAAATAGATAAATAAAATCTTTAAAAAAAAAAAAAGTCTGCTGAGCAAGGGTAAATGAGTAAAAACATACTTCCTATTGAGTTAATGGTCAGTAGAGGGACATGAGCAAGATTTGGGACAGTGACATTTTACTTGAGGCAAGGATTTCTGAAGAGTTCATATCACAAAAAAAGAATCATTCCCTCCTATGAATAACTATAATAGGGAGATTACATCCTTACATATTATATCAATCCATAACTATCATATTTATGTATATCGTATGTATATTTTAAAACATTTGAAGGGCTTATTAGTGTGCTAGGACTGCCATAAAAAAAGTACCACAGACTAGATGGCTTAAACAACAGAAATTTATTTTCTCACAGTTCTGGAGTCTGGAAGTCCAATATCAAGGTGTGAGTCAGCAGGGTTACTTTCTCCTGAGGCCTCTCTCCTTGGCTAATATGTCATGGTCTTCCCTCTGTACTTGTTTGTGTCCTTAATCTTCTCTTATAAGCACATGAGTCATTTTAGAGTTGGGCTTACACTAAAAACCTCTTTCTAACTTAATTACCTCTTTCAAGACCTTATCTTCAAATACAATCATATTCTGAAGTATATTGGGGTTAGGATATCAACATATGAATTTGGGGGGGGGGACACAATTTAGCCCATAACAAAGTGAATAATAAAAACATAATACAGAAATAATTTTAGCACCTGTAAATTTGTTTCAAAGTTATGTGGAGCATTTTAACACTAGCATACTATTAATAATGTTTAAATAACATTACAGTAGTCCTCACAAGCCCATGCACAAATTTATAAGCATATCCACAGGATGTTAACAAAGGACCTCCAATACTGCTGGTAAGCAGCTAAAATGCTGCCACCATGTGTCTCCAGTGGAAAATACAGCTTGAAATTCATTTTTAAAGTCAGTATTTAAAATCTGTGATTATTTTCAGAGTTTCATATATTTTCAAATTAGGGCTTTATAAATATTTTTATATCACAAAATAGAAGGTTCTTGAGGAAAGAAGGAGAAAAGGTTCTTGAGGAAAGAAGGAGTTATATATGGAAAAATCAATTTCAGTCAAGTTTGTGAAGAACTTTAAATAGGGTCTTGCTAGTTAGCATTTCACCATTATCCTGTGCAGAAGCTATTGCACCATAGGCAAGGAAATAACACACTAGGTTTTTGTTTAGGAAGCCTACTCTAACAACGGTGTGTAAATAGATTGAAGTGGAAAGCAGATGAAGTGATGACAGAGAAATGGGACAGAAAGAGAGATGAGAGGCTCCTATTTTTATACTCTAGGTGAGACACAGTAGGGGCCTGAATGAGTAACTGGCAGAGAATAGAGATGAAAGAGTAACTGGTGGGTATTTTGGAGATAGAATTAACAGGGTTCATTTGATGTAGAGAGAGGGTCGAGTCCAGGATAACTTCATATTTTGTAGCTTGGGTATATTGGAGAAGGTATTTGATGTTTATTAAAATGTGAAACTTAGATACTCAGTATCTAACAGGTTTTTATAAATGGAGCTTGGAAGAAAAGTTCAGGGCTAAAATTTTAGAAACTACATATAAAAAGACAATGACAAAAACTGGGAGTTTTTGAAGTCAGAGAGTAAGAAATAAAATAGTTGAGAAAGAACCTGACACACTAAGTAGGATACCCTTTTGTGAAAGGAGAGAAACAGTTCACAGTCACAGAATTGCATGTATGATGTGTGTTTACATTTTTTAGAAATTCTGGTAAGTATCCGAGAGCACAGTATTAAGTTAGGGAGGCAAAAATGAAATAGATATGGTTACGGTAATGAAAGATTTCACAATCAAGGGAAGAAAGCCATTATATAAAAGATAACTGTATTACAGTGTTGTAATTGCTACAGTAGAAATATGGATAGGTTATTACAGGAGAACAGAAAGGAGGCACCTTCCACAGTCAGAGGGTGGAGGTGTCAGAAAAGTCTTCATGTAGCAAGTGAATTTATACACATTTCTAAGGACTTAGTGTGTGCCACATACTCATCTTAGCCCTTTATAAAGATTTTTTTTTTTTTTTATTTGAGACAGAGAGAATGAGAGAGAGAGAGCACATGAGAGGGGGGAGGGTCAGAGGCAGAAGCAGGCTCCCTGCCGAGGAGGGAGCCCGATGCGGGACTCGATCCAGGGACTCCAGGATCATGACCTGAGCCGAAGGCAGTCGCTTAACCAACTGAGCCACCCAGGCGCCCCTCATCTTAGCCCTTTATAAATATTACCTCAACTAATCTTCAAAGCAACCCTACAATTAGTATTATATCCCCTATGTTAGAGATGGGGAAACTGAGGCTTCAGCAGGTTAAATAGTTTGTTTGCATTCACATACATAGTATGTAGCAAAGGGACATTCAAACACTCCTCTGATAGATTTCAAAACCATTCCACTGGCCACAAAGTTATACCTCCTACTTTGCGTGTAAAGGTTTGACCAGGCTGAGAATTGGAAGTGGAGGGTGGCATTCCAGGCCTCATATAAGCAAAGGTGTGATACACATAGGAAGCTTCTACCACTTCTAGCTTGCAGGAATTTATAGAGTTCAGAAAGAGATGAAGCTGGAAAAGAAATCAGAAGCCAGACCCCGGAAGGAGGAGCCTGGACTTCATGTTGTAGGTAATTATAGCCACTGCAGGGTGAGACAGGGGATAACATGATGAGTTAGTGTTTCATGTAGGTCTTTCTGACAGCTGCCTGATGGCAGGGGTTAAGTTAGGTTTA